TAAATATCCGCAACCGAATCAAATCCCTCCCTCCTCCGGAACTGGGCGATAACTGTGAACGGAAAGATAGGGGATTTTCCCGGGAAAACGATGGAAAAGAATTCCTAGGTTATTGGGTTACAGGGTTTCATGGGAAAAAACCCCCCGGGAGCAAATTTCCGGGGAGAAAATGGAATTTTGAGAGAGAAGAGAGAGTGTTTTGATTGAGAGGTGCCTTTTGGGAAATTATATATCGCAAATTATAGTTTTCTACTGAGAGTGGGAATGCTGTGCTTTCTTTGTTTGCTGCAGGTTGGGGATAATAATTCGTATGGTTGTTTATGGGCTTTTTCCCTTTTTTGCCAACTCTTTTTCATGTATTCTTATTCTTATTTAGGTCAGCTTCTCAAAGATTTAGACAATCCGGTCCAATTTTAATTTGGGCTTTTTTTAGGCTATCTCCAACCCAAAGATCCAAACCTAAAATTTGCTGCTTTTTTTTAATTGCTGAACAGAGGATTTCTTGACTATTGTTATCCAATGGTCCAAATTCAAAATACTTTTTCATCTCGATATCTAACGGTCCAAATAAAATTAAATAGTGGAAAACTCAAAACCTTTTTTATATATAATACAAGCGATAGTCTAAACTACCATAGGGGTTTCTCACACACACTCTACCACGGTGCCATAAGAGTTCGAACCTAAAACCATTAGTATGCAAATCAAAGTATTTTTCCATTGCCCCTTTAGCGGAAAACTCAAAACCTAAAGCTACCTATCTTGATACCTTATTTTTCAGTCATAAATTTTCGCAAGTGTTTGCATATTATTTTGCATCTTGTACAAGAAGTTTTCATTCATGTAAGGGATTGTTAATTAATTTAATTTTGAATTAATTAAATAATTCAAATTTGAATGTAAATGCTATGTCAATTAGGATGTGCAATGGCGGACCCATTAATTTTTCTAAATGTGGGCTAATTTTTTTTTGTTGTTGGGAAATTGTAGTGAATTTTGTTGTACAATAAAGACTAAAGTACAAAACCAGCACTAAGCTAAAGCCCAGTTAAGCCCCTTCGTAGGTCCACCCTTAAGGATGTGGCCTTGCATGGGATGTGGGTTTTCATGAAAAGTAGTGACCATTTGATTATAAGTGAAACTAAGCAAATCGTCCTTTGAAGAATATACATTTGATTATAAACAATCGCTTCCACGTCTATAAAATGTAATTATTTTGGACTTCTTCTTTATGAAGCACTTCTGCTTATAAGTACTTTTGTTAGAAACACTTTTATTGGAATAACGTTGAAATTTTTGTTAAAAATCCAAGTACTTCCTAAAAAGCACATGATAGGTGCTTTTTCATAAAGTGTTTTTATGACCCATAAGTACGTTTTAATTGTTATGCCAAAGACAACTAGGAGCGCTTTTGGTTGTCATAAAACGCTTTTAGCCAATCCGGAAGCACTCACAAACATTCCCTAAATGAAGTCATAGCATTTTGTGAGTCACTTGCACTCTAAATAAGGGTTTGAGTTTATACGAGAGAGTGTTCAGTATAATTGTGGTTCGCTAGAGTCTTATAGCTTAGGGTGCTACTACTGTAAGGGCATGATTATTGTATTCTAAAAGACAAGTATCGGTCAACCATGAGCAACATAGTGGGCGCAAATTGTACTAAGGACATAGTATAACCTATCTTGACCTATTATCATGTTTTTTTGCCTCTACTTCATGTCTTTTTTTGGTCAAGTACTTAATGTATATGTAGCATTATTTTTGCTCATGTGTATGCATTAAACTGTGCATTTAATTACATTAATGTTTCTTGAATTTTATATGAGAATAATATAGTAATTAGACACTATTTTCCAACATATGGTTCCCCCTTAACATGAATTCAAATCTCATATTATTGTTCAAATATGAGATTTAACACTCAAAATGTGACAATCAATAAATAAAAAAAGGCTTTTTAGAAGCAATAGTATATAAATTTGTGCAAGATTTGTATTTTGGTATTTGAAAATAGAACTGGTGAGGTGCTACAATAATCATTTTTCGAGTTCAATGACTAAAATGCGAATCATGCACAAATTTCAAAACTTATTGCTCCTAAAAAAACAAAAACAAAAAGTGTTGAAAAAAATAATATGGGATAGTCATTTTGAGTTGGGCAGTTTTCGAAATACAAAACCAGGCATTGAAGTATATAGATTGCGGTTTATTTGGATCAAGATTACACTTCTTTTATAGCAAATTGAATGACTTTTTTAAAAAATATTTCGTGACGCCTATTATACAAAAATGGCGTAATTGACGATCGGTAATTTAGTAAAGAAATTGTACATCTCTCTCTCTGTCATGATGGATGAACTACACACTTTTCTTTTCAATGGACATTCATGTTCTTTCAAATTTGCATTTTCTGTTTAACCCGTTGAACAATTAAAAGAATAAAGAATGTTGCCGAAGGTTTTCACCTTCTAAATCATAGGGTGGCAAAGTGAAAACTACTAATACTGTCATACACCAAGGGTTAATTTTCCCTAGCAGAAAAAGAAAAGTAAAAAGCGACCATTCTTTTTCGTTCCTAACTTTTAAATGATATGTCTAGTTAAATGGTTTGTTTGCTGCAGGTTGGGGATAATAATTCGTATGGTTGTTTATGGGCTTTTTCCCTTTTTTGCCAACTCTTTTTCATGTATTCTTATTCTTATTTAGGTCAGCTTCTCAAAGATTTAGACAATCCGGTCCAATTTTAATTTGGGCTTTTTTTAGGCTATCTCCAACCCAAAGATCCAAACCTAAAATTTGCTGCTTTTTTTTAACTGCTGAACAGAGGATTTCTTGACTATTGTTATCCAATGGTCCAAATTCAAAATACTTTTTCATCTCGATATCTAACGGTCCAAATAAAATTAAATAGTGGAAAACTCAAAACCTTTTTTATATATAATACAAGCGATAGTCTAAACTACCATAGGGGTTTCTCACACACACTCTACCACGGTGCCATAAGAGTTCGAACCTAAAACCATTAGTATGCAAATCAAAGTATTTTTCCATTGCCCCTTTAGCGGAAAACTCAAAACCTAAAGCTACCTATCTTGATACCTTATTTTTCAGTCATAAATTTTCGCAAGTGTTTGCATATTATTTTGCATCTTGTACAAGAAGTTTTCATTCATGTAAGGGATTGTTAATTAATTTAATTTTGAATTAATTAAATAATTCAAATTTGAATGTAAATGCTATGTCAATTAGGATGTGCAATGGCGGACCCATTAATTTTTCTAAATGTGGGCTAATTTTTTTTTGTTGTTGGGAAATTGTAGTGAATTTTGTTGTACAATAAAGACTAAAGTACAAAACCAGCACTAAGCTAAAGCCCAGTTAAGCCCCTTCGTAGGTCCACCCTTAAGGATGTGGCCTTGCATGGGATGTGGGTTTTCATGAAAAGTAGTGACCATTTGATTATAAGTGAAACTAAGCAAATCGTCCTTTGAAGAATATACATTTGATTATAAACAATCGCTTCCACGTCTATAAAATGTAATTATTTTGGACTTCTTCTTTATGAAGCACTTCTGCTTATAAGTACTTTTGTTAGAAACACTTTTATTGGAATAACGTTGAAATTTTTGTTAAAAATCCAAGTACTTCCTAAAAAGCACATGATAGGTGCTTTTTCATAAAGTGTTTTTATGACCCATAAGTACGTTTTAATTGTTATGCCAAAGACAACTAGGAGCGCTTTTGGTTGTCATAAAACGCTTTTAGCCAATCCGGAAGCACTCACAAACATTCCCTAAATGAAGTCATAGCATTTTGTGAGTCACTTGCACTCTAAATAAGGGTTTGAGTTTATACGAGAGAGTGTTCAGTATAATTGTGGTTCGCTAGAGTCTTATAGCTTAGGGTGCTACTACTGTAAGGGCATGATTATTGTATTCTAAAAGACAAGTATTGGTCAACCATGAGCAACATAGTGGGCGCAAATTGTACTAAGGACATAGTATAACCTATCTTGACCTATTATCATGTTTTTTTGCCTCTACTTCATGTCTTTTTTTGGTCAAGTACTTAATGTATATGTAGCATTATTTTTGCTCATGTGTATGCATTAAACTGTGCATTTAATTACATTAATGTTTCTTGAATTTTATATGAGAATAATATAGTAATTAGACACTATTTTCCAACATATGGTTCCCCCTTAACATGAATTCAAATCTCATATTATTGTTCAAATATGAGATTTAACACTCAAAATGTGACAATCAATAAATAAAAAAAGGCTTTTTAGAAGCAATAGTATATAAATTTGTGCAAGATTTGTATTTTGGTATTTGAAAATAGAACTGGTGAGGTGCTACAATAATCATTTTTCGAGTTCAATGACTAAAATGCGAATCATGCACAAATTTCAAAACTTATTGCTCCTAAAAAAACAAAAACAAAAAGTGTTGAAAAAAATAATATGGGATAGTCATTTTGAGTTGGGCAGTTTTCGAAATACAAAACCAGGCATTGAAGTATTTAGATTGCGGTTTATTTGGATCAAGATTACACTTCTTTTATAGCAAATTGAATGACTTTTTTTAAAAATATTTCGTGACGCCTATTATACAAAAATGGCGTAATTGACGATCGGTAATTTAGTAAAGAAATTGTACATGAGTCGCTCTCTTTTCCTCTTCAAGGTTTTCCGATAAAACCACACCAAAAAATAACATTTTGAAGAAACTGACAAAACACTGCGCACGTAACATCAAGAAAGAAAAAACCCAACAGAAACAAAACATTACTGAGCACGTAACTCACTTCCACTCCAGGACAAAAAATATCAGGTAAGGCCGAGTCTATGTGAAATCTGTGTTTTTCAGAACCTGATTGGTTTACTACTTCTTATTTCAAATGCGTTAAAACCATTTTTCTGACGGTTTTCCCCCACACCCAATGAAAATCAGAAACGTGGCTAATATCTTAACATATTGAACACATCAAATCATTGCTCGCGCTCAACCTCCACGCTCCCTCATCGCCTATAAATCCCAGCTGGAACAGGTGGCTTCGACTTCTCCTCCTCTGACACCTTTCTCTTTCCTGTTCGCTTTAGGGTTCGTCTCTCTCTCTCTCTCTCTCTCTGTGTATTTGAGTGTTCGATTTTTCAAAATTTTGATAATTTAATTATTTATTCATTGAAGGGGAGCGGATAGGGACCATCTCTCTGTGAATTACAGGTTCTACTTTGAGGAGGTTGGTTTCTCTGCGAACAGGTGAGTCGTAGATTGCTCTTCTGTCACTAATCGTTTTTGGGTTCTGCTTGTTTTGATGAAACATGTTCAAAATGTTGGAAGACGCTCAGAACTTTATGTATATGATAACAGATGTGATTTTTTGAAAATGAAATGTGAGTATGATGGTGGGTTTTGTGTTTTGATGGAAACCCAGGTGCTAATTCCAAGTTTGTGATGTTAAGAATAAGAAATTAAGGTTCTTTTGTGCAGATTATGATTTTTTTTGCAAGTTATTAGCTTGATGAGTTGGTTAAAGTGGTTTGTGTTTTTAATTTTTTCATTGGCCATGGTGAATTAGCTTAAAGTTGATTGCGTGACTTCTTCTTTCAAGACTTGAAAAGGGGATATGTATGTAAGAGGTTAGGTTTTCTGATGAGTATGTTTTCTGTATTAATATAAATCTATGAAGAAATCAATGACTCAGTACCACGAAAAAGAATTTGAATTCGTTAAAACCATCCATTTACTTTCTTTCTTTAAAAAAAATAGAGAGAGAAAATGAAAGGTAGGAACAAGCATGTGGAAGGGCTTTTGAGTATTGTTCATGAGCTGTCTGATAAGCTAATTTCTTGAAAGCTATGGAGCGCAATATTATATGAGTTTTTAGATTGTCTCAATATTTCCTAGCCTTGTATCGAGAACAAGGGGATTAGTTTCAATTGTTGTTTTGAGGTTTTTTGCAAGGTTCATTGAGTTTACAGAAAGATCCACGTATTTTCTTCTGATGGTGATTTTACCTTAACTAGGTATTTTAATTTTCTAGGACAAAGAGGGCAATGTTCCTATCAATAGTTGTATGCTTCAATCGCTACTATCTGCCCCAATGTTGAGCAAATATATGTGTTTAATGTTTGGATTATTGTGTTTTATTTTTTTCGGTAAAGCATTTTAGCAGAAGTATGATTATGTGGTTATTATGCTGACTGGCGAATTTTCATGAAGGTTTTAGCCTGTTATCTATTTGTCAGTATGGTTTCACTCTGATTTGGGACAGCGGAAGTAAGAAATGTCTATGCCTTATGGGGTGTCATTGTCAGTCTCTTTTGTATGTGTCGAATATTGGAGAGTTGCTGCTATAATTTCTTTGTTTCTCTCTTTATTTTGTTGAATGTCATGAAAGTATCTGGTTAGAAGTATAAGGTCTTTTTTCACTTTGATTTGGGACAGCGGAAGTTAGAAATGTCTACGCCTTATGGGGTGTCATTGTCCGTCTCTTTTGTATGTGTCGAATATTGGACAGTTGCTGCTATAATTTCTTTGTTTCTCTCTTTATTTTGTTGAATGTCATGAAAGTATCTGGTTAGAAGTATAAGGTCTTTTTAATCCAACTATGAAGCCATTAATCATCAGTGAAGATAGCAAAGCATGATTAAATCATCATTTGTGAACAATAAGAATAAAGCAGAAAGCCATTTTTTTCTTCATAAATTTGTCATTGAATAGGGTTGACCATCTAATAATATGGTTCTTTGAAAGGGTATATAGTAAAGGAAGGTACACACTGATTTTCTGTTTGATTTCTTTGGTAAAGTTTGAGGGAGCATACTCTTGATTGATGCATCTGATGTTGTATTATACTTTTTAAAATGTAAAAAATTTCCTATTAATATGCAGGGCCCTGAAAAATGATTCCTAATGGAAACTTATCTGCTTGTGTTTTCTTTATGTACAAGTGAAACCTTAAGGTCTTTCTTGATTATCCATGTGAATTTTGTTTTTGTTTTTGTGAAACCAATGTAATAATATTTAAATAACCAAGATGAGTATTGAGAGCCAACCTCAAACTAAGTTTAGGTAACTGATAAGATCCTGTTAGGGTGTCATGGTTAAAGCATACATTAAAGAGTCATTTTCCCTTAAGTATGGTACTTAGAAATGACGATTTACATTTCCATATAGTTTTTCCGTCACAGCAAAGATATGGACTGGTCGTTTCATGTCTTGTTCTAAAGATTTAAACTACTATGTTGAATTTAATTTAGTGGGTGAATTGTAGATGTCAGGTGGGGAGAGATTTCTACCCTGTGGTTGTGTTATCATATATTTTTGGAGACCTTAAGGAATTATGGTGCAGGAAAATTTTAAAAAAATGGAGCACAACGAGACAGGGTGCCAAGCTCCTCCTGAAGCTCCCAAGCTCTGTGCCAACAACTGCGGATTCTTTGGAAGTGCAGCAACAATGAATTTGTGTTCCAAATGCCACAAGGACTTGGTATTGAAGCAAGAACAGGCTAAAGTGGCTGCAGCATCCATTGATTGTGCTGTGAATGGCAATCCCAATGACAGAGGGAAGGAGCCTATTGCTACTGTTGATGTAGATGTACAAGCTGGGTCTGCAGATTTGATGCTCATCTCAACACAGGCTTCCTCTACTCCATCTTTGGACATTAAGAGTGAGGAGAAGGTGAAAGAGACTCCAAACAAGTGCGGAACTTGCAAGAAACGTGTTGGTCTAACCGGCTTCAATTGTCGTTGTGGAAATCTCTTTTGTTCACTCCATCGCTACTCGGATAAACACAACTGCCCCTATGATTACCGAAGTGCTGCTCAGGATGCTATAGCAAAAGCCAACCCGGTTGTGAAGGCAGAAAAGCTGGACAAAATCTGATAAATGTCTCGGAATGAGGGTTCATCTTTTTATCTATTGCACACATGCTCTCATTTCTACCCATGTGGCTTCTGCTTATGTTAAGTTGATCTTGTTATGTTAGGTCTCTTGTGTTATAGATGTGGTTGGAAGCTGTTGTGGGAGTATTTCAAATGTCAGGAACGATTGTGTGTAATAATCCCAGCCGTTGGTGAGGGCCAGGAGGCTGTCACTGGGCTTTGCTATGGATGATGTTTTGGATCTTGTTTATTTTGCTTCTTGAGTATTTAATTTAAGCCCAAGTAGTAGTACGCTCAAGTAACACGCATGTAATGCTTGTAGTTTTTTTTTCTCTCGACCTTACCCTCATTTGGTTGTTCGGCTTGGATTGAATTGGAGTTGATTACTAGTCAAGGTCTCTTTGAATCCAACATTTATAAGTTCATCAAACAATAGTGAAAATAGTTCAATCAAACCTACTAAAAGTTGGAAAATAGAAGAATTTTAAAAAATTCTTAGAACTTCTTAATACTATTCGCCCTAACTTTAAATATAAATTTGCTGTTCAGTCATGTTTTTATAAAACGTGAAACACATGCTGTTGACTAGATTAATATTTATCTTAGTTACCTTTTCGACAGGACAGTACCGAATGAAGAATGCTAACTACCTTCCATCTTCTCCTCTTCTTATATAGATTTATGTATAAATGGAGTACACGTGGAATAAATTAAATAAAGAATGCAAGAAGTATGTAGCTGGCACATAGATTTATATATAAATGGAATATACGTGTAAAAAATTAAACGACGAATACAAGGAGAATGTAGCTAGCATTCCTCGGTACTGAATAGCATGCCAATTAACACTATATGGACCAGATTAATCTGTATCTTAATTAAGCCTAATACTTATACTTTAACATAAATAATAAGATGTATATGATGAACCTTTAGGTAGGAAGAGCATAGTAGGGCCCACACACGCCCATCCCAATCTTAATATTGTTGGAAGTTGAGGTGAGTCAGACGGTGGTGGTGGGGCTGGGTCATCTATGACCGACCCTTTTTGCCCACTTGCTATCCAACAAGGTACATCGGCCACGTGTGAACCGCGTGGCATCCAATCAGAGCCTTCGATCTCACCGTGTTTGACTTTGCGATAACAACTAGTCACTATCCTTTGGACCCAGTCAAGTGGTGGGCTCAAGCTCAACCCACAGCGGTTCTCAGATTATGCCGCTGCATTTATTTATTATTAGTGCTGAGAGAGAGAAACAGCTGCGCTCTTTCAAAACCATGGCCGTGAAAAGACTTTGAAATTCCCTAACAACACGACCTTTTTTGAAAAAGGACATTATTTCCCAACTTACCACGGACGAAGTATTCTTACTTTCTACAAATCAAAGTTTGACATATATGCATAAATAATTTATCAAAAACGGCTAAGTACAAATATTTTATATTGGGAACACTTCGAAATCTTGGATGTATGTCCTCATGCCCAAATTATTAATCATTTTAAAAATATCAATTAGCTTTTTTTCCACAAGATATTTTATACTTACGAATAAACGATTTGCACGGGATAAAGAAATCTCATCGAGCGAAATGTACGGTTGTGAAATCATTGTTTAATGTTTTTTTTTAATTTGGCTAGACCCCGTTGGCTTTTCCCTCCGTTCCTATTATATAGTTACAACGTTGAATCAATATCATAATTTCCATACATTGATATTGTTCCAAACTTATATTAACCAAAATAGAAACTCTTAACGTAACATGGGGAAAGTAGGTGAATGAAACAGAAATAGTTTTTGCGTTGTGTTTTTTTATTTTTTGTCTTGTTTTGTTTTTGCGGTGAACAGGAATTTAGTTAGGCTCCTCATATTGGCACACGTAGAGGAGGGGAGACGACGACGCGTGTGACGTACACGTGTGTGTTGGACGAAAACGGAGAGAGCGACTTCCTTCCTGAGACGACGAAATGGGTCCAGTCAGATAGGGCGGCTTCGCCTCATAAAGCAGGACGCGAGAAATTGCCCCTGTCACCACTATTCCCCAGTGGGGCTTTCTAATTTTTCCCCGTTTCCCATTTTACCCTTCCACTTGCATTGCAATTCTTCTAGGATCCCGTACATTTTTAATTTTTTTTAATTTTTGTTTTGCTCTTCTTTAACCCACGCAAGGCAACAACAGAAAACAATAAACTATTTACTCCTTTCTTCCTAGTGGAAGACAGGAAATATCCCTCTCACCTCACACCCACTTTTTTTAATTATCTTTTTCAAATTCTTGTTTAATTAATACTAATCTCTTCCCACGCGCTTTCACACTTATAATTTAAATTTATTTTAAAATTAAAAAAGATAACCATAAAAATAAGAACCATTATAATTTTTTTTAATATGAAAAAGTATGAATTTATTATATTATCCTCATTTAATTAATAATTTCAATTCTTAATGTTCACATTAACTAATGACATTTTCTAGAATTTTGAATGTTTTACCATTCTCTGTCTTCTGCTTTAAATATATAGATTCAGCTTAATTTCATGATGATTTTTTTGGTTTTTTTTATTTTTTATTTTAAAAAAACTTTCTTAAAGAATGAAGAAAAAGAAAAAGAATATGAAGCTTTATAAGACATACATACTTTACCATATGAAATAAATTCTTGTAGGCTAAAGATGTCAATCACCCTAAATTGGGAAGGCATCCATGAGGCAGCTTTTATTCCAATGCAGGATAACTAAAGGTAGAAAGAAAAAAAACAAGGAAGTAAGAAATTGCTTTTCAAGCGTTCTTTTTATATATGATAGCTTTATAGCAAATCATGAGAATGACTAAATAAGGGGGTTTCGTAATTTGGAAGCAATTGTTGTAAGATAACTTAAAATCTCACTAATTTTTGAACTGTTAAAATAAAATCAAAATATTTGCATGCATCCGTTATAATATAAATTGAGTTTTGTTTTTTAGATCAAAAGAGCAATTTCAGAAAATTAACTTCAACTATACAATTAAAGACATCAACATGACATCTAAAGCACCAATTTCAAAAGAACAACAACCTAAAATGCTAAAAACAAAACTAAAACGGACAAAAGCTGAACTAAAAACTACTAAAGTATCTAAGATTTCCCAAAATCGTTGATTTGTTCATATTGCCCTACTTGGAACACCCATAATCCTTCTCTTAATTTGATTGTTGTTATTTGAACCATCTTAATGACTATATCGTTTATTTTTTTATTCTGCTATCTATTACCGAAATGGTACATCAAGAAGGTATAAAGTAGTTTTTCTAATAATGTGCATGTGAGTCCACTACATAACAATGACATGAGAACAATTGCATAAGAGTAGAAACCAATTAATTTGTGTAAACAAATGAATAAATAAATTATTGTATGATTGATGAACAATTATTCAAATAAAAATCCAGACAGAACGAATTCATCTTTAATCTTTCGAGTTATTTAGATTAGAAATAAAGAAATGAAAAAGAAATTAGAACATCCGCCACCAATAGAATCAATCAGACGGCTGCATATTGATATCATGCTGCATGTGGGTAAAAAATGCGGGTCCCACCGAACCTTAAAATAAGCTTTGTCAGGGATAAGCCTTTTCTCAATAATGACGATTACCACGTCAGAACCAATCTAGAGCAAGCAACCTAAGCCAAACCAAAGAGCCAAAATAATTAAATTTAAATTTTAACTTAATTTAATTTAGTTCTTTAAGCAAAAGGTCATAATTAAAGAAAAGTAGGCAGGGTATTTTGGTAAAAATAAAACGCAGAAATGTTTTATACGCGTCTCTATGAGGCCCATATTCCATCGCCATTACCGACCTTTCAGTCCTTCATATCCCCATTTCTCTGTCTCCTCCCTCGCCCACCCAAACCTCTCAAACCTCTCTCTTCTCTCTCTCTCTCTCTAGAAACCACAACTTTCTTTTTCTCTCTCTAGAAAACCTCAACCTCCATATCCTTTCTATCTATATCTCAAAAGAAAAAAAAAAAGAAAAAAATCAGAGAAGCGAAGAGAAGAGAGATCGATCGATCGATCGGAATCTGAATGAAAAAAATGGCTCAGAGAACGGAGAAGGAAGAGACGGAGTTCAAGGTCCCCGAAACTCTAACGCACTGCGTCAACAACTGCGGCGTCACAGGCAATCCCTCCACCAACAACATGTGCCAGAAGTGCTTCAACGCCTCCTCAGCCACCACCACAGCAACCTCATCTTCGGCTGTGACTTTGAAGTTTTCCGGCGAGAAAAGTCCGAGATCTAGCTCCTTTAGCTTCGAGGCTCCGGCCGAGATCACCCGCAGAACGACGGCGTCCGAGGTCGTGAGATCGGACGAATCGGCGAATCGGCGAGTGGTAAACCGTTGCTCCGGATGCCGGAGAAAGGTCGGGTTGACCGGATTCCGGTGCCGGTGCGGCGAACTCTTCTGCTCTGAGCACCGGTACTCCGACCGTCACGTGTGCAGCTACGACTACAAGGCCGCGGGTCGCGAGGCCATCGCGAGAGAAAACCCCGTGGTCAAGGCAGCGAAGATCGTCCGGGTTTGATAATTAAATTTGTAGAAATGGAACCGAAAACATTTCTGAATTTTCTCGGGAAAATTAAAATTAATTCTCGAGAAAGTTTCAGAGGAAATTTGTGCTGGATTATCAAGGCGTCTCTCTCTCGGAGATCATCACCGATCGTTTAGATTGAGAGAAACAGGTTTAGGAGCAGAAGAGACGACGGAGAGAGAGATCGCTTCGTTATTGAAGAAAATCAAATTCTCTCTGATAATTATTTTTTTTAAATTTTATTGTGTTTTCTTTTCTTTGGCTTGGAAAATGATAAAATTATTGTGATTTACGATATTCGATGTGTTTGTTGGTAATAGTTGGTGTTCAGCTTTTTCTAGTTTTAATATTTCTTTTTTCTGCGATGTTTGAATGGCAGTTGAATGTTAATTCGAAGAAGAGACAGGGTGTTTTATGTCATTTCGAAAGTTTGCAACTGGAAAATCCAGTTGGGAGAGAGGAGGGTTGGAAGCTATGGGGCCCACCGTATGGGCAACTTAAGGGGTTCTTACAATTATTTATTTCTCGCGATGGAACGAGATGATAACTTGATACGAGTGGGTATATTGCCTAGACGAGTTGAAGAGGGCGTATGGGAGGGTGACACGTGTGCATGGCATAAACCATTAAGAGGAATGCTATTCACAATCGCTCAAAAGCGATTGTCAAAGGACTTGCTATACACACGTTCTCATGCCTTCCCAAAAAAAAATGATTTTTTTTCTTTC